AGCTTGGCTATTTGGAAAAAAACAGCCTGGGCTGTTTTGAAGCTTTGTACACATGATACATTATCTCACTTAGTTCTTTATTTTTCTTTTAATTATCAGAACATTGATTGCAATTACTCTTTTATCCCACACCCATGCTAACAAGCCATCCAGACAAAGCTTCAAAACGGCCCAGGTTTATTCCAAACAGCCATACTTTCCCCCTCCTATCATGCTCTTCTCACGACATGACCTCTCCCCCCCCTCCGTCACTCAAAGATAAAGGTGTAAATCGGGTCATGCCGCCCACAGCCCAGGTTTTTTCCAAACAGCCATACTCTCCCCCTCCTATCATGCTCTTCTCATGACATGACCTCTCCCCCCCCTCCGTCACTCAAAGATAAAGGTGTAAATCGGTTCGTGCCACCTGCGGCCTGGCACGACGGATCGTGGGCTGTGCTGCCTACAGCCCATGTGTCGGCCCGGCCCATATATATTATATAATAATTATATAATATATTAATATATAATTTTATTTTCAATTTTATTATTGCATATATAAACAATATTGTATACATCAAAATTCATATAAAATAAAATTTTAAGATCTTTTTATTTTTTGTCTTTTTTTAATTTATGTTAAAATTTTCATTATTTTTTCAAAATTAAAAAAAAATGGCTTGGCCTAGTTTGCGGCCCGGCCTGGCATAAGGCTTGGGTCGTGACACAGCATGGGCCTGCATGGACTCGGGTCATGGGCCATGCAGGCCAACCCCCCGAAGTATCCCAGGGGAGGGAAGCACGACCAGTCTCGACCTGCGGGCCGGCACGGCCTGATTTACACCTCTACTCAAAGAATCTTCTCATATTTTTATCTTCAAATTGATTCCTCATAATGTTCTCATTTCTCTCTCCACTTTCACCTTGTTAGATGTACTGAGTTGTATGTTAAATTTCTATGCTGATTCAGAAGGTGTCTGGTTCAGAAGGTGGGAAATGGTCAGCATTTAAATTTCTGGAAAGATATTTGGTGTGCAGAAAGGCCTTTGGCGCAGTTGTTTCCTCAGTTATTTTGCTTGGCTGATAATCAAGATGCTTTGGTGACCAAGTGCTATGAAGTTTCAAACAATTCCATCATTTGGAGCCCCTCATTTAGAAGAAACTTTCAGGATTGGGAAATTAATCAAGTAAGGGAGTTATTTGAGCTGCTATCGAATCAAACCATAAACCTGTTGGAAGATGATAGATGGATCTGGATCTGGAGTGCAGACAGTTTCTTTTCTGTGAGGTCCTTTGCCAAAGTTTTGGAAGGAGATAACAAACCTGTTTTTCCAGCTGCTATTGTTTGGAATGCAACAGCTCCTACCAAAGTAAATGCCCTTGTTTGGGCTGCCGCCCTGGATAGGTGCCTCACCAAGAAAGGCCTGCTGAGGAGAGGAGTGCAGATTCAAGACTTGAATTGTGTGTTATGTGGTCAGCCGTCAACATGAAGAGGATAACAATCACTTGTTCCTCCATTGTTCTGTTTCAATGTCTTTATGGAATCACTATCTTTCCTCGGTAGGAGTGCCCTGGAACATGCCAAAGTCTGTGTTGGGTCTGATGTGGTACCGGGACTGTTTAAGACTTTTCAAGTTGGCCAAAAGTGTTTGGAGCTCAATTCCTGCAGCAGTGATTAATACCATCTGGGAGGAGAGAAACAACAGTGTTCTAGAACAAGGCCAAAGGAATAGACAGCCTCATCTCTAATTCCTTTGGAAAAATGGTTTCTTGGATTGCTTCTGTAAATGATTTCCAAAACAGGGAGATTGGAGCCCAGCTGAACTCTAGAAATCTCCTTGAGCTGTAATGTAAACTGGTTCTTGGGCCTTCCTTCTTTCTGGGGGGCTATTTGTATCCTTCTCTATATTCTTAATAAAATTACCTTACCTTTTTCAAAAAAAAACTATGCTGATTCATGTTCAAGTTGATTTGCATTCTGAGGTATCACGATCAAGGTTTAAGACTTTAGTTATATACTTATATACAACTTAAATATCAAAAAAGATGAGACAAATGGGCAAATTTGTATGCACTATGTGTCCATCTTTTTGGTGTGACTTGATCAAGCTCCTCAAATAAGTGGTTCATATCTGTCTTTTACCGAAACAAAATACCTAAGATTAGTTTCATCTTATATTGGATTTCCTTTATACTGTAGCTTAAGAAGGAACAGCCAAAATAACCAATTGTTGTTATTCAAGGGTAAAAAGTTATAATCCCATGCAATGCTGATTGCTGAGCAATTCAAATGAGACTGGTCCATTTTTTTCCTCTTTTACATAAATGGGGAATGTCCATGCATTTTTTGTGCTTGTTGCAGTGTTGCATCTTGCATGGACACAAACATGTCTTATTCTGGAGTCATCTATATCAAGTTTTTGCTCCAATTCTTTCCAACTCATTTTCTCTGCTTTGTTGTTTTCTTTTTATTTCACATATGATTAATTCTATTGATCATGCATTTTTTTTCTCAGCAAGGGAAATTTTATTAAATTAGAATAGAAACAGTACAACTAGATGTTGGAATTTGGAGAGACTTCCAACAACCCATGTGTTTTACTATATGTGATTACAACTTAGCCCTAGTAGTCCCCTGGCCCATTTAAAAGAAGCGTCCATCTCTTTAGCTAAGCAATAAATTTCCCTTATGCTATGTTTGGTTTGAAGGAAATGGTAGGGAAAAGAAAGGAAAGTTAGGGAAACCTATACAAGATTTGTGAAGGTTTCCCTAACTTTCCTTTCCTTTCCTACTTTTTCCTTCAAACCAAACATAGCCTTAGTGTATGCTTGTATACCCAAGCACCTAGAGTATTACACTTGTCCAAGATATGATTAACTTGGAGTCCCCTACTACCCCCACCTGTTAAAGATCGAGTCGATTTGCTATTCTTAGTCCTTGCAACAATACTAATAACTCGGCTCACAAAGAATCACCAACACCAATCGGGCCCAAATACAAGGCCACAACCTTATCTATTGTGTCTCTAAGCACACCCCCAACACCTTCCAGAACCAGATTGCCCAAGGAACTTCCATCAAAATTCAGCTTAACCTTATTATTTGCTGAAGGTTTCCATTCCATTACCACTTTGTCCTTCATTGAATAGGAATTTTATACTTCTGCCCAAGCTCTTATTATATCCTCCATCAAGAAGACTTGAAAGGCCTCTATTGTTTTCGCTCAATGTGAAACTTTTACTTTTATGCTATCCGCCAACTCTTCCAATTATCTGTTTTTCTCATTGAATACCCTCTCATTCCTTTCTTTCCAAATAATCCATGTTACTGCTACCCTAACTGGCCCACATGATTCTCCCTCTCTTCTTTGGCTGTTTAAGAAAGCTTGGACTAAAAAGGTTCACCACATCTTGAGGAGGATTCCATTTGCAACCAAAGAAATAGCAAAAGCAAACCCAAATGCAATGCACAAAAGAACAAGAGATTAGAGGAAATGGGGAATAGTCTCACCACTTGCCTTAACCAGAATGCACATATAAGGAGAAAGGGATGTACTTGACCTTCTTCTTTGGAGCATATATAGGCATTAATCTTGCCAAGGAACACCTCTCATTGAAAGGCTTGAATTTTCACAGGGAAGACCCCCTCCTCCCCCCCCCCCATATTATTTGTCTGAAGAAGAGTACTGAAGAAGGAAGCATAGGAAAAGAAACCAATAGGATAAATTGATCAAACCCTACTATCTTCTATGTGTGGATCCAAGAAAAGTAGAAAACAGTTTAAAGTTTTGCCAACAATCCAAGTAGAGAATCACATTCACCATCTCTTATACAGTTATACCTCTGCTAAACCCAAAATCCCATTTTATTTGAGTTAAGAAAAAGAAGCAGCCAAAAATTTTGAGATAGGATCACCTTTGTAATTAGACAGGGAGCATAGTTTTCAAGGCGCCAAGGCAAGGCTAGGCGACTGGGGGGTGCCTAGGCAATGGATTTTTTTATGTTAAAAACATAGATCCTAGGGTAATTTCCTAGGTACCATAACCATGTTTCCTTAATAATTATTCATGATTTTCATAAGAAAAGTATAAATTTCATATTAAAGTAAAGAAATTCAACATATTCGTGAGAAGAAAAGAAGGAAAGTAAAATTCAAAAAATATAGGGGCTGAACCCTTATTTTTGTTATAGGAAAAGAAGAAAATAAAAAGTATTGGTAGTAGTAGTAGTAGAAGAAGAAGAAGAAGAAGTAGAAAAAGAATATATGGAAGAGGAAAATGTGCTCTGATTAGATAAAACTTTAAGTTCTTCCTTACTTATTGGTTCAGGTTTTTAAGTATTTGAGGGTTCAATACAGAATTTAGCAATGTTTGTGTTGATAAAACCCTAATAAATAAGAAAATAATAAAAATAAATTAGTATATAAACACACAAAATGTTTATTTTAGTTTAATAATGTCTATTTTATAATTATAATCTCAAAAAGAATGAATAAAAAGTATTTTATAGTAGGAAGTAGAAAATTGCTTGGCGATTAGGCGAGGCGAGCCTCAAAGGGCGCCTTGTCACCTAGGCGTCGCCTTGATAACTATGACAGGGAGTAAAGCAAAGGGAATTGGATTTTAAGAGGGGATTCACCTAACTGCAGACCTTCCCAGAAAAGGACTTTATCTCCACACCCCACATCATATCTAATAAATCTTAGAAAAGAAAGAAGTACTCAAGTACCCATTGAATAGACTTCCAAGGTGAAGCTGAAGAAGATACTTCAAAGTGCACAAGAATTTGAGAACCAAAAGCCGTAAACATCATCAAGATAGAGGGCCCCCGAAAGTATATAACAATCTTTGACATCACAAAAAAGTTTATGGTTTTTTTTCTATCAAATTTACCATAACCTATACAGTTGATTATGGTATTCTAGTGAATGATATATTTTACATGATTCAAAACAATAAACAAAACAGGAGGGAACAACGTAAGTAAACAGGAAAGATACACAAAGGTGATATCTTAACATACCTGCGCTTTGTTGAGGGTTGATACCAACACCATCTGAACAAAATAAAAAAGATAAAATTAAAGTCAACAAACTGAAAATTGAAAAAAAAATAAGGAAGTTTAGGGTGAAAATTCAAGTAAATGTGCATTGGTGACATTCTAGAAAAGGACAAACATTTATTTTTCTTATTTGATAAATAAATGCAAATGTTGAAATAATGGTAAAAGGGATAAAAGAACCTTACCCTTACGGAAATTTAAATGTGACAGGTATAGAACCATGCGAGCAAAAATGAACAAGAAAGTCACACCAGCAGTGTTTTAAAAGTGAAAATGTGACAGGTATAGAATGCAAGGCGCAAGGTGAGGTAGCTAATATGATGTTAAACATTATGCATTCTTGATTCTAGGAGTTGCCTTTGCTAATGTTGCCCATTCATTCATTCTAATAAAAGATATTTTTAAAAGACACTTAAAGTTATAAAACCTTTCTTTTTTATAGGGATTAAGATTTTAAGACCCTAATATGGACTTGTTTGGGCTTGCCTCGAGGGGCTTGGTCGGGGGTCCGGACACAAGGTTTCCTAGGAACACCAAGAGGGTGCCTTTAGAAAATACCCCACTTGGGACCTAGGCAAGGCACATACCCTAAAATGCGCCTCGCTTGTGCGCCTAGGCGCACCTTTTAAATCACTGCAAACCAGAAAAGAGGAATAAAAATCATGGGATTGCTTCTCCTTCAAAAACACTGCAAGTTAAAACCATGAAGTGCTTCAATATAGATGACCATGAGAAGACTTAACTTTTTACCATCTTGCAAAACACCAATTATAAAGAATATCTTTTCCATCCAAAAATTATGTTATTTTTCTACTCCCATATCAACCAATAAACTGCAAATTAGAATGCTACCATACTTCAAGCATAATGGATGATGTAGCAATCGATGAGCCAGCACTTCAGCTTATTGATTGCGCAGAAAAAAAACACATGTTCATTCATGTTCGTCACTATCCTTCTGAAATTAGATGGCCCACCTTCAAATATCATACCAATGACTACAGTTCCAATGAAGCAGTAATTTGTTAGAGGATTTATGATGACCAATACCACCGGCTTTAGAGGAAAGCCTGGCCACTCTCTAATCATCGCCAAATAGGCTCCCCCTATCATCAAAACTTTTAGCAGGAATGTGGAGCAGAAACCTAAATCTGGTCTTATAAACTAGTATCTATGGGGCACAGATACCTGTATAAGGATACCAATATCATGTCAGATACTTGAAATTTTTTGTAAAATTCATATCCAATGCCATATCCATCCATGTTCTTGCCCATTATAAGAACTTAGGTTCTCGGATAGAGTTCATTTTATCATAACTTTTATTGACTTCATTACCATTAGAGTGCCCCATTGGATCATGAACAAAGGAATGAGTTCAGGGGAACTTATGTGAATTTTGTGATTGGAGGATAGAAAACCTTTTGAGTTCTTAGCTTTGCTTCCTTTAGGAAGTTATGTAGGAGCCATCTCCCCTTCTAGAGAGAGAGCCATCGACATCAAATTTGATGGATTACCGACAGGAAGATGACCATTTAGAATTGGTGGTGTCTTTAGAAGTCACAGTATGAGGTGTTAAAGATAATATTCTAGTGGTGTTTCCAGGTCTCAGCTCATGTATTCTCTTGGGTTTAAATATATAAAGGTCGGGGTGATTATTGGTTAGTTCAAAGAGGGTTTTTACTTTTGATTTCCCTTAGGATTGGCATTTACAGTAACAGAATAGTCCCAATGGATTCAAAATCTACTAATACTTTGGCAGATAGTCTTGCCAAAAGTGGGATTGGCAGCACCAAGTACCATTGGGTGTCCTCCCTCCCTCTATGGTAAATTTGTCTTCTTGCTTCTTTTGTTAGATTCATATCTGCTTTGCCTCTCTAAGGTTTGAGATGCTCCTTTCTCTGATTTGGACTGCTAGTTACTGTATTCCTTCCCATTACTAGTTTACCAAAAATGGTTGATGGCAGTTCATTACATAGCAAATCTTTACTATTCCATAACCTTCCTTACTCAAAGGATTATAGTGTAGCATAAGGATGACACAAGAGGAAATAATTCCCGAAAAAGCACTCACACATGGAAGCAATAAACTAGACAACCTCCTCAACTAGTTGACATTTCTTAAAAGAAGCAAAGGAGCACAATGTTAGTTGGTTATTCAAGAAGCAGAACACCAAGAGAAGAAAGAAATGCAGACAAGCATTTACTCATCGGAAAGCAGACAAATGGCATGCAACCATGTGCAGAAAAAGTACGAAATGATCTTAGAAACTCAACAACATTAATATTATGGTAGAATCAAGATCAACTGTGCAATTCGCTCTTGCAGAAATCTCTAGGGGAAAAATGATCTGACAACTAAAGACCCAATCACATGTTCTCTTAGCAATATGAACCACAAACTTTTAACCATGTAAAGGGATTACATGGCCAATCTGGATAATCAATCTAATAAAGTGATCTTTGGATTGTCATTGACCACATGGATAGGTTCAACCAAAATCATCATTACATCCAACAATGGGACTCCTAGCTAAACAATGAAAGTTTGAACATTGATTTTTCTTTTTTTTCCCTTAAACAAACAATCCAGCAAAGAAGGATAGTTTCACCATAACGCAGGCAGCCATAGGACCAAAACCTGCAACATTAGAAAAGGGTAACATGGTATATTAATGTATAAACCCATCCTCAAAAACTATATTGTAACCCTGAACACATGTCCAAGATGCAGATCTTGCCCATCCACATGTCAATAGTTTTGTGGACAATTTGTGCTTTGGGATGAAAAAGTATTAATTTACGCCCCCCCCCCAGAATTTCTGTTTGATTCCTTTTACTCCCTTTTTTGTATCTATGTTCTCATTATTAGTTTTTTCCGCCAACAGAAATACATGATTGATAAATTGGTCAATACTCTTCAGATGTTTCAGCAGCAAATATCAACTTCAGAAATTAGGGTTACATATTAGACTACTTTCGTGTCAGGGTGCTATACATCAAATAAAATGTGCAAAGCAGCACAGAGATATGATAATCACAATCTTTAGGAGTTCCAAAACCAAACAGACAGCATAAAAAAGGATCCATGAAGCTCATGCACCTTTAGTGCCTAGAATAATCAAAACCTTCAAGAAAAATTAATTTTTTTAGAAAATTCTAGAATTCTTCTATTGCTCCAAGTCTAATTTCTGTCTTTTAAGATCCACATATTTAGAAATCTTTTTTTTCTTTTTGATAAATGACACATATTTAGAAATCTTCTCAAAACTAAACTCTGGTAATCCGTAATCCGGTTCCCAAAAAAAAAAAGCAAATCGAAGCAAAGGTAAAAGCCAAAAGAAAAACCGTATGCAAGTTAAACAAATAAAGATAAATAAAAAAAAAGGTGGGAGAATTGGTACCATTAGTGATGATGGCGCTGGTCTGGGGAGGAACCTTGAATTCCTCGGCAGCGAATTTCAGAACTGCCGTAAACGGAGCTGCTTCTGGAACGCTGAAACTGGAAAAGATAAACAGAACTCAGCTATTCGAAGATCGAAGGTAGATGAAGAAAGAACAATAATAAACAGTAAATTAAGAGAAAAAAAAAAAAAAAGGAAATCATCTCCGACGTACACTTTGAACGGGAGTTTCGGGTCCGACGTCAGCGTGACCTTGAAGGAGACCTTTCCACCCGCCATTGCTGATATCTAGGTTTCCTAGCGCAGAGAGAGAGAGAGAGTTCTATTAGATTATTATGTCTGAAATAAGTAACGGATGTCAACACAGTGATACACGCAAGGAGAAGAAATGGGATTCAGTCAGTGCAAAGCCCGTTCAAACAACCATCATAGGGAATATTTCTCCAAGGAGAAGCAGCCAAAGAAGGGCAGTAAGCCAATACTGCCCTCATCCAACAGATTGGCATCAATCGTAGATACATCCTCCATCCTCTGTATAGCTGTAAAGTTGGGCGGGCCGTCCCAAACCCCTGTGGCTGTGCTGGGCTTGAATTTTGAGGCCCGTGGGCATGGAACGAAGAAGAGCACGGCCCGCAGTCTACGCATGGCACGGCTGGGGCTGGAGCTGTAATGTGGGCCGGGCTGGTGGCGGGTGCCAGCAGGCCCAGCACGACAGGGGTCGTGCCTGGCATGGTCGCTATATGGCTATAGTACCGTGCCAAGGCACGGGATGGGAATCCAGGCTTTGCTGGGCCTAGGCTACAGAGGGGACCGCAGTATGGCTCATAGTCGTTGGAGGGGTCCCAACGGTTATATTTGCTATTTTTTGGGGTATTTATGTATTTTGGATGGGGGCAAAAAATGACTTTAATGCCTCTAATAGTTAGTTTAGGATGGTATTTAAGTTCAATAACATATCATCCCTAAAACTGACCAAATGCCCCTCCTAACATCCATAAACAATTAGTTTAGAAAGGTATTTTGGTCAAATTAATCCCCTTAATTCCTATAAATACCTCTACCATCACTTAAAGGGTGTCAATTGACCGATTTTGGATTGGACCCCTTAATTCCTATAAATTAATTTGGACAAACTGGACGGACCAACAAGACATATTGGATTGGACCAATCCAGTCCAAAATATTTTATTAGATTGGATTGTACCTGATCTGTTCGTAACAAATTTATATTAGATTGTGTTGGATTAAGTCAATATCTAATCCATGATATAAGATAAGAATATAGGAGTTAATGGACCAGATTTGAGTTGAAACCGATCTCAATGAAAACAAAATTGAACAGATTGGACGGTCTAGACATTAAATTGGACCGGTCCAAAATGGTCCAAAATATTCATTGGATTGGATTGGACCTGGTCCATTTATAATCTACACATTGGACTGGATCGGATTGGACCAAATCCAGTCCAATTGACACCCCTACCATCACTTATTCTCACCACAACTCTCATACTCTATTGCTCCCTACAATCTATCTGTTCTCATATTCTTAATTCTTTTACTTTTCTCAACTTTATTTTGTTATTCCAATTTCTAAGTTTCAACAAGGAGGAACTTGCTTCAAGTGAAGTTTGCAAATCAAATACTACAATTGGGAACCCAGGAGGCTTCTCTAAGGCTTCATCAGTTCAAATCAAGAATATGGCGGTTGAACCAAGTAAGTAGTAGATTAAATTTGTTCGGGTGATGGTTGAGCTAGCCAAAGATGCCACATGACTATCTCCATAGCCGCCCCCCTCTCAAAACACATCGTCGCCACGCGTAATGGAAGAACACAACTAAGAAGGAGTATCCTACATAGACAAGGAAGCAAACTTCGACAGGGAAGAGGAAACTTCTCGAAGACCTCGGCGGATGCCCTCATCTCGACAACCCAGGGAGCCCTATCCATTTGGGACATGGGCACCCAACTATAAATAAGTATTCCCCACTTGAGGTAAGGGACCTTTTGGAACTGCACTCTTTGAATATGACGTTATTTCAACCTACTCAACCCAGCTACATCCTTCTCGATCCTACTGACTTGAACATTGGAGTACCTACCCGGGGAACAACTCCTCAGGCCTCTAACCTTTCTCCTAGTTGTAGATCTCGGTGTGCAGCTTCATCCTTCCACCTCGACCTCATCTATTTAGCAGGACTATCTAATTGTGTCCTTGATTTGGAACACCTTGGATCAGACAACATCAAAGTTTATTTTCTTATAGATTTTAATTTTTATTACAATAGCCGGCTCTTCCCAAAATCCTTTTCCTATTCTTGATGAAGTTGAATCTCAATATGATAACACTGAAAATATCAATGTCAGCAACACTAATGTTGCTCCAAATATGGCTTTTTCAAATTGGTGCTATTACCTGTAATGTCAAATCCCATTCGGGTAAGAGAAGGACTAGCAATGTTTGGACTATATTTGGGATTGAGGAAATCCTTGGAAAGGGAAGAAGAGAAATTTGCAAAAAAGTGCAGGCACATGGCATCTCACATGAAAAGGGAGATGACAACTCAAACCAAATGCAAATTTCTAGTGGGGTATTTAGTAATTTCAAATATTCCCAAGAGAAAATGAGGCAAGAATTAGTAAAATACATTGTACATGTTGAGTAACCCTAGGTTATAAAAATGTTTGCAACATGTTGTTAATCCTCAATTTAGTAAAGTTAATTTATAGGAATACAAGTAGAAATGATGCTTTAAAAATTTTCAGGTATAAAAACAAGATTTAATTTCAACTCTTTCTAATTTAGATTTTAAAATTTCTCTTACATCTGATATATGGATATCCAAATATACTATTAATTATATTTATGTCACTACACATTTTATTGGTCAATATTGGAATTTGCAAAAAAAAAAGAATTTTAAGTTTTATTAAACTAGAATGGCCACATACTGGAACTACAATTTCAGCTAGTATTTTAAATACTTTATAAGAATATAAAATTGAAAGTAAAGTTTTTTCTATTACTTTTGGCCATGCTAGTAATAATGAATCAGCAATAAATATGTTAAAAAATAATTAAAACCAAATTTTGATGGAAAATTATTTTACATTAGGTGTGCATGCCACATTAAATTTATCAATACATGATGCATTAGAATTTATTTCACTCAATATAAATAAAGTTAGAAATTGTATTATGTATATTACAACTTTAGGGTAAGAAAACAAGAATTTAAAAATTTATGTCACTAATATGGGAAAAAATATAAAAGATTTGTATTAAATTTATAGCATAGGGGGAATTCAACATATTCTATGTTAGAAAGTTGTTTATAATATAAATATGTGTTAACAAATTTTTATAATGAAAAAAATGCCAAATGATTACATAACTGATGAAGATTGGGAGTTGCAATTTATATAAAAGATTTTTTACAACCTTTTATGGTGCAATTAATTTATTTTCAGCAATTTATTATCCTACTTCATATGTATTAGTTAATCAATTATTTAAAATTAGTGACATTTTTTCAAAATATAAAAATATTTCACAATTTCAAGCAATTGTTGAAATTATGGAATTGAAATTAAAAAAAAATATTGGGAAAACATTTCTCCTTGATATTGCTTAATTACAATTTTTGACCCTAGAATTAAAAAATTGGGTTTAGATGTTTTACTTGATCTTTATCATACAAATATGATAACTCAAATTGGAAAAAAAGGATTAAGTTAATACTTTATTATTTCAAATGTATGAAATGTACGATTCTTAAAGTTCAGTAGAAAATAAAAAAAAAAAAAGTCAACAACCACACCATGTGAAAGTGGTAGTGGAAATAAAATTTGGTCAATAATAAGTAGAGAAAAGCAACAATCAACTACCACATCTTCACCAAGTTCATCATTTAGTGAATTTCAAATTTATTTGCAATAATTAAGTATGTTTGACTACCTCAGTTTAGAGGAAGTAGACAAAATTGATATTTTAGTATGGTGGAGAGAAAATGGGAAAAAATTATCCAATTATTTCATCTATGGCACGTGATATACTAACCCTTCTGGTATCAACAATTGCATTGAAGTCTTGTTTTTCTATAGGTAATCGGGTTTTGGACAAGAAGAGGGGCAACTTGAATGATCGTTCTTTGGGATGTGCATCTACTTGAAGGATTGGCTAAATGCAAAAGATAGGCTACAAGACAAAGGAGAACATGACACCATAGTTGATAGTTCATCATATGCAGATGATGGAGGTGGAACTTGAAAAAGTGTTGAATCCAATATTTTTTGCACTTCGTAAACCTATCCAACTCAAACTTTTCAACACCTGTAACTGCACCCAATTCAACCTAACTTGACTCGTTCACCTAGAATCCACAAATCCTATATAGCCAAATCAATTTAAAATTAAACAACTCACTTAAGACCCACCATACCAAGCCAAACCCACTTAAAATTGACCTACTCACCTAGAACCCACAATTCTTAGCCTAACCAACTCAAGCTTGACAAATTTAGCTAGAATCTACCACCCCTAAAAAGCCAAATCAATTTAAAATTAACCAACTTTCCTAGACTCTATATCCTTACTCCTTACTCAAGCCTGTTCAAAATTGATTCACTTATCTAAAAGCCACCATCCTTATCCGAATCTGTTAAAAATTGGCCTATTCACATCTAATAGACAAATCAATTAAAATTTGAACTAATCACCTAGATTGCACCAGCCTTGTCTAAATTAATTCAAAAGTAGTTTAATTTACCTATATCCACTAGAAACCAATCCCAATCAACCCAAAATTCTCCTAGATTTACTAGAAATCAACCCAATCTAACTCATAAAAAATTTCAACTCAACTTGTACTAACTATAAAACCACTAGGAAACACTCCAACCAAACTTGAACCAGCCCAAAACACATAGCCTAACTACCCCCTACATAAGTCCTAGATAGACAAACCAATTTAAAATTAACCAACTCACCTAGGAACCACCATAACAAGTTAAACGCAATCAAAGTTGACCCAATTGCCTAGAACCCACCATAGATCTTAGCCTAACCAATTCATCTAGAATCCACCACTCAATATCCCTAGACAAACATGCTCAAAATTGATTTACTTACCTTGAACCCACCACCCTTAGCCAAATAAGTTCTAAATTAACCAATTTTACCTTATAATCTACATCGAATAAACCAACTTAAAATTAGCTTAATTTATCTATACCCACTAGAAACCAATCCCAATCAATTCAAACCATCCCAAATTCTCCTAGATCCACTAGAAATCAACTTAACCAAACTCAAACCAACCTAACCCATCTAAACCCTTTCAATCCAACTCATTTGCACCAATTATAAACCAAACCAACTCT